CTGCTGCCAGCTCTAAGTGTGCAGGCAGTCAGGCTTAATCCTGCTTGAACACCTGTTTCCTTTGTGAGGCCAAAGGTCAGAGTCTGGAGGTCTCTCACTAAGTGGTCATCTTTTTCAGGGCTACTGTCTGTAACCTGACCTCGCGCCACTAAACTGAACATTAACCTCACATGGAGTGGCCTCACTATGGCCTAAATATAACTCCTCCCAATACCAAAAGAGGAATTATTCGGTCCACGTTGAGTTGTACTATATGTATAATGCAGGCAAATATTCAGCCTTGAATAACATAATACGCTTTCAGATGCTCTTTGCTGTCATCATTTTGTGTAATTCATGCAACACGTGAAAAGGAAATAATTAAGGGGATGAAATGGAGAGAGGTTTATTACTTCCTGAACGGCGACAGCTCGCATCTATTAGCCCTCCAGCCTGCTGATGTATCTGCTGATGAGCTACGGCCAAGTAATGACGTGCTTCGCTGCCTGTGAATCCATAGGTCTCTCCCTCAGTCTACTCTTTCTGGCTCCCAGGCTCTGGGTGGAAAACCACAGTCAGTAAATCAAACCCATCAGGAGGATAGATGAGAGAAAGTGAGAGACGGGGGTGGGGGGGCTGACGGCCTGTTTCTCAGCCTTTGGGAGAGAGGAATGTGGTGGAAAGGGTACAAATCAACCAGAAGTGATTGCACAATAAGGTCAGTGTGACCAGAGGAGAATCCGGTCTCAAACGGTACACACGCACAAACAAACACATTTAGCGCACACATGCAAACACAGTGAGTGATTGAGTCGGGGCATAACCCCGTGCCCACCCTGTGAGTGGCTAATAACCGAGGCACAAGGCCAAACCCACTGTCTCCTGAATAATTCCCCCATGCCCGCCAGGACTGGCGCCGCACTGCAGAACAGAGCCGTGTTTCTCAAAGATCCTGTGATCATTACGTTACTGAATCACTCAAATGGAGGAATGAACAAACAGCCACATGGGCAAAATCGCAAGAAGATATGCTGACCACTCCTAAAAAAGAGGAACTCAAATGTTTTTGTTGTAACTGTTCGATTAGGGTGTAAGATCCGCCTCAGACCTAATCTCATTCACTCTAGGGGTCTCTCTAGGGATGCATACCGGTATCCGGTATTACAGAAATACCGGTTACTGGTGGCTAAGTTTTTTTAATACTTTTTTAAAAAAGATTATTTTAAAGTGAGTCCGTGGCCCGTGATGGCTAGTGTTATAAATTAGATTGCATAATCGTTTTTCTTCATATTTTATGTATTTTTCATTGTTTGTTCAATACTAGAAAGGTAAAAGAACAAATGAACTGTGATGGGATTTGTTTTCTCTCACCAGTAAATGTTGATTTTAAAGATGAGATTTGTTTGTTTGTACAATGCCGAGATCTCATGACCATTATTCTATTATGTATTTGTTCTCTAGTGGAATCTCAGGTTTAACATTAATTATAACGGTGCTATAACGGTCTGTTTGCATTGACAAGATGTGCTATTCACGCGGCACACCTGAAGATATTCCATAATCGATTTCCTTCATATTTTTTTATGTATTTTACTATTTTTCATTGTTTGTTCACTACTAAAAGGTCCAAGAAGTCCCAAAATTGAATTTAATATTCATTTGACATGTTAACCATATCGTAAAGCCCTTCATGGGAGTAATTGTGGGATGATACATTTTCAAAGTATCACGATATGTATCGGTTGAGTATCGGTATCGTTCAGTGGTATCGGTATCGTAAAAAAGTCAACGATATGCATCCCTAGGTCTCTCCACTTCCTGTGTTGCCACAGCAAGCTCAGGAGGACAACTAACACAGGAAAAGGAAGCAGAGATAAGACGTTCCCTAAGTGTAGAGATGTGCGTTCAGAGGGCATGGCTTATTCTCAGTAGTGGGTGTAGTAGGTTCATGCATTTTAATCACAGAAAAAAAAAAACACACACACACATACACTTCCATCTGCTGTGCTTCATGGGAGCAGTGGCAAGCTTGTCACTGTCATTCGAAGTTAGCCCACCCTCCTGCTATCCCTACTGAGGGGGACAAAAGAAAAGAGAGGGAACGGAGGGTGAGGGGTGAGGGGGATCAAGCAGTTGAATTCCTCTCTGTCACCTTCTGATCTCTCTCTCCAAACACATCTCTTGTCGTCTCTCCATTCATTGTCGTCGTCTCTTTCTTCGCCATGCTCCCAATACCTTCGTTACCCACCTACCAGCACGCTGTCAAACCTCCGCTCTATTCTTTCTGCACACGGCTACTCTCATCCCTCCACCTGCTGCTCTGTTCATATGTAATCACCCTCTCATGGACAGACTGTTCCTCATTTAGTGTGTGTGTGTGTGTGTGTGTGTGTGTGTGTGTGTGTGTGTGTGCGTGTGTGTGTGTGTGTGTGTGTGTGTGTGTGTGTGTGTGTGTGTGTGTGTGTGTGTGTGTGTGTGTGTGTGCAGTGTGCGTTCCCTTGTAACATGGCTGTTTATGGATTGAACCTCACTGCTGTGTTCTCCATGCAAGACTCTTAATTTCCAATGTTAACCACAGCGGCTAGAGCAACACGCTCACAGACACCAACATTGATTCTCTTCCCCAGCAAAGGCGGGTTGCCAAATACTGTGAATTACCCCCCCTCTGTGCCTCAACCAGCACCCACACCCACTCTTCAGTGGAGCTCCATGCCCCCACGGTGGGTAATTGTAATTGCATTGAATTGGCCAGCAGCCAAACGCATAAGACTGCCAAGTCCAGCTGTGCCGCTCCAATCAAAACACACTCACAGCCTCGTGACAATCACATCATCAGTGTGTAATATGTAATTCCAAGACACACATATTATGAACACACAAACATACATGTGCATATCTGTAAATGTATTTGCTCAAAATGACAATATTGGAGGCTGTGATGAAACAGTAAAGGAGAAGACAATAAATCCAAACCACTCATACAACTTGATGCCTCGTTGACATTGAAGGACATAATGGTCTATATTCCCTCATCACATATTCTGCCCTTTGCAATGGTCCTGTGTGCCCCTCCCTCTTTTAAATGTCTATGCAGACAGTAGGGAGGTTCAGCTTGTCCCTTCACCAATGACAGTGATGAATTGACTGTGTGTGCTTGTTTTGAGTAACTGCTGATGTGAAGTGTTAACGGGTCCATGGGCCTGAAGTGGTCAGCCCATTTGTCACATCCCCCCCTCCCCCCAAGCCTGATTCCTGTCTGATAGGGGCTCCTGTTGGCCACATGATGAGAAATTCGAATTGAGACATACTGTAGGGATACAAACAAAAAAGTATTGATCTGATTTGAATGAGAATTGTATTCTTGATCTCCTTAACTCAAACTGATATTGTTTAATATCACAGTGCAAGAAAAACCCACTGCTTCCCTCCCTCTGAATTGCACTGGTCAAAGCAAATGTTTGCATTAGAGTTAAGACCATTAAGTCACTAAAGTTTTGCATACGGTCATCTGAAACCCTGACGGCAGCATGACTGTGCAACATCAACTGTCTCAAATCATAAGCCTCTCCCTTTGGCTTTACTCTAGCTGTAGCGTAGGGGCCCATTTAATGATTTAAACCTGACAGTATTAAGATCATGACAGATTGTGCACCTCTCTACTCTCTTCTGTGTGAACACCGCAAGCATGTCTTGTGACACGTTTCTAGGCTGAGCGGAGGAAATGGGCCGTGTCATGTCAGCGTACACGCATGATGGAGGGCACTTAAATAACTCATGAAAACCCTGTTTTCAACCCACAGCGGGAGGAGCGTTCAGCGTTCTGCGGGTACGTGTGTCTGTGAGCGTGCGGTGGCCCTGTATGTCATGACTGTTTAACCAGGTGCCTTTCAGTGTGCTGTGGTTGAGCTAGTGTGACTGTCTGTGTGTGTGGGGGTTGTGATGAATTTCCGTAAACGACAGGGGGGCCCTCTCGGCCAAAACAGAAATAGCCTTAGAGAAAACAGAGAGAGTGGCCTAAGCTAGAGGAAGTGGTGAGCAGAGAGAAAGAGAACAGGGCGAGAGAAAGTGAAAAAAACGGAGGGTGGAGAGTTGAGAAAATTAGATTTAAGTGTAAACACTTGAGAAAAAAAATACTCGGTGGAAAGGCAGTCCAGCTACACTGATAAGGGGAGACAGCAGCACTTTCCACATAAACGCACTGAGCTCCAAAACCCACTGTAGTGAAGGCCTCCCTCGGGGCATTCTCACACACTTGCATGTCACTTTTTTTACACTTCTGCCCCTGCTTCATGATGACATCTCCCGACTCATCTCCCAGTCTAGTTTCATCACTATCATCCTTGTGTTTACCAGCATCCCAACAAATTGCTTACTCATCTATTTGGTTGAACTCTATAATATACATCAAGGAGATGGGAGTGAAATGACCCTGTAACCTATAATCCATTGCTCTGGGTTAAGGTTGGCAGCAATATCAGCTGACTGATCAGTGGTCAGAGAATAAAGCAACAAATAAAAAAGAGTGACATGGTGTTAAGGATAAGCATTTGTGTGGGGACATAGACCAATGTCAGTGTTTGTTTGAGAACCTTTGTTTGTACGTTTTGTGGGCGGGTCCTGTTTGCTGGTTTGCATTGTTGAAATAAAAAGCAGTTGCTGTTAAACAATGCATTCAAAGGAGGCGAAGGGATCAGATCCCCGCACATTTGCAAAACAAAATGCAGGGAAATCTTTGTTATGTCCTACTGGTCTCACTCGGCAGCATGTGAAGGTTGACAAATGACAACAGATGGAACACGAAATGTTTAGGTAAGGAAGTGACAGCTGGGTATATACAGTATAGAGATAATATACAGTGGTGGTGGTGCTGGTGAAATTGTGGGAATGCGATTGGAGCGTTAGAATATGGTGAACCCTAAGAAGATATACTGACCACTCCTAAAAAAGAGGAACTCAAATGTTGTTGTTGTAACCGTTCCGATTAGGGTGTAAGATCCGCCTCAGACCTAATCTCATTCACTCTAGGGGTCTCTCCACTTCCTGTGTTGCCACAGCAAGCTCAGGAGGACAACTAACACAGGAAAAGGAAGCAGAGATAAGACGTCCCCTAAGTGTAGAGATGTGCGTTCAGAGGGCATGGCTTATTCTCAGTAGTGGGTGTAGGTTCATGTAAAAGGTTGTGGCCACACAGAGCAACAAGAACAAGAAATGCAACATGAAACATAACAAATGTTTCAGTTTATCCTGTCAGTGATAAAAGAATAGCCACACAGTCATTTATTGCAGTAAACATCTATTAAAAATCACATGGTGTGAAGCGGAAAGAGGAATAAAGATGAATCAAAGAAGAGTGGTAAAACCCTCTGAAGCAACAACATTGATGAGCGTTTGGGAGAGCTGTACTCACTGGACAGTGGGCGCTCAGCGTTCTCTGTCTCGGTCACTGGGTGAGAAGGAGTGAGGTCACCTGCAGGCACCGAAGGCTTCGAGTCCACCTCCTTACTGACTCCAGCCGCACTCTCAATCACAGTACATGCCTAAAAGATGTAAAGACATAATTAACATACATGAAACAAATGAGACGTTTTGGAACCACAATGACCTAAGTTCATTAAACAAGATTCAATTCTACTAGATATAGATTCTAATTGTCTAATCTGTTGCACACTTATACTTAGATGTGCCGTGATGAGAACAAAAATGCCCCACTATTATTGGGGCTTTAACTGCAACATTGCCATAATAATAAAACACAAACATTATAAGACACTGATGGTGCAATTATAGCACTTCTGATATAGCCCATCATTGGTGAAACCATTTTTAGCTGCTGTCACAGCATTCAGATTTCTGCTATAAAAAGACAACAACTGAAGGGGATACAGCGCTGGGTGAAGAAGTGTCCCGTCCCTGAAGTGACAGAGCTGCAAAATAGATTCAGAAAACAGGCTGACAGAATCAAAGATGGAGAGAGAGAAAGAGTTTTCCTGACAGCCCGAGTCTGTTTGGATGTGCTCCACTCTGCTCCTCTCCACAGCTGAAAGAGGAAGGAGGGATGAGCCTTCAGGAGAGAGACAAGCTGACCATGAAAAGCAGGGGGAGAGGCAGAGGGTGGCTGTCAGCGAGGAGAGAGAGAGTTTAAAAGAGGCTGTGATGGCTCCCTCCATTGACGAGCAATAGGGAGACAGGCAGAGGAGTTGCAGCGCATCTTAAGACAAAAAGGCACCCAGGGCTGATGAAATATACATAACTCTCAGCTGGAGACATGGCACAGAGCGACAGAGCCAAGGAGGGCCCTGAAGGCTGACGAGACTCCACAACCCCTCCTAAACACACACTAAAAATAAAACGCACAGACACACTCCTAATGACTTCTCATGAGGAGCCAGGGGGGAAGTTACTGCTTTTTTAAGTGGGCATATATGCACGCTCACACACACACACGCAGGTATTTGAGCATCAAAGTGCATCAATGCTTCCTGCTACAGTTACAGACTGAGTGGGCCGAACCACAATACCACAGTACCACAGTGATACCATACAAAAAATAGTTTTGGCTGTTGGACAACAATCCACCAGCTGGTCAGGGGGATTTTTTGGTTGGAAGTTTGTTTCAACTGCCTCTTTCAGACCTGCCCACCTGCCCGCTCTTCAAGCCCAGGCAGCTGCCTCCGCGACACCAGCAGTTAAAAAGCATTTAAACACAGCTCACTTAACAATAAACTCTCCCTTTGTTCAGGCTAACGATCCACCTCTCCCACGCACTCTCCCAATGGCTATGCCACTGAGGTATTGGGATTCTTGTGTGTGTGTGTGTGTGTGTGTGTGTGTGTGTGTGTGTGTGTGTGTGTGTGTGTGTGTGTGTGTGTGTGTGTGTGTGTGTGTTACCAGACGCTGGGTGTATTTACTTCTTTCTTTGTTGAGTTTCCCTACTTTTCCTATCCTCCTCATGAGACGTGTTGGGTGTGCCTCTCCAGTCTGCATCTTGACACATCAGGTGTAAGCAAATAAACTTGCAGGTAAATAGTCAGCTCTGAGCCCGGGGATTACCGCTCAAGAAAACATACACAACAGATTTCCTAACCTTTTCTGCCTCTCATTCTCTCGTTCAGCCTATTAACTGTCGTTCTTTTCATACTCGCATTTTTAAAAAACTACACGTAAGGTGGTCACACTGTTTATGAAAATATGAAAGAGAAAGATAGATCGAGGAAACTAAGTGTCTGAATGGCTCCGTCAGGGCAGAAACATCAGCGTTTATAATTGAATCACTGAAATGTTGTTGCTTCGCTGGTCCACAAAACAGATGGTGGAAAGTAACACTCAACATACTGGCCTTAAAGAACAAGCTGTGATGCCAATGTTTTATGGTACCGGTTAGCTGTTGCCATCATTGCTCCCAAATGACTCCTCTATGCCCATATAGTTAGGGAGGGGCATGATTACTTACAGTATGTCATGTTACATAACAGAGTGTTACTGTGGGCACAACCATTATATAGTTCTGAGCTTAACAAGTCTAGAGAGGGTTAGATGCTCTGGTCTAATATCCAAATCTCACGGGTAGCAAAACACGTGTCAGGTATGTTTCCGAAACGACAAGTGGGTTGCTGCAGGGCTATCAAATCAACAAAATATGTTTTCCTATAATTGAAGAAATTCGAATAATAATGCAAAATAAAAGTCAGTCAAAGTTATAGCAATAAGATATTTGTTTCCAAATCAATCAGCCCCGATGATAAAATGCTGGAGCTTGAAGAGCTGGAACAGACCAATGATATGTTAGATTCAGAGCAACGGGGTGAAATAAAGAGGATCTGGAGAGGTTGCGCTAATTAAGTTTAATTCCAGAGTTCAGCCTCATCTCCACTAATTGGTAAGGATAAGGGTTGGTAATGAATGATGTTGCAGGACATGAAGAAAGCGTGCCAGCAGAAATCACAGAGCAGTGTGGAGTACTGTGTGCCCTCAAAGGATCACAAGACATTAGCAGCTGAGTGCAGATCTTGATATGAAGCTGCAGATAAACAGAGTCTGTTGGGGCCCGGGGCGTGCACAGGGAAAAGTGTGAGAGCTTGTGAATGTGTATGAGTGTGTTGTCGAGATAGAGGCTTGTCCATCAAGACAACCTCTCTTGTCATGAGCCTGTCTCAACCTACATCTCACCTGTCAACCTCTTCAAGCAGTGATGACAGTGTTTTACACAAACGCAGCCTACTGTGGACCTAATACCACTTCCTAGTAGTGACACACAGGGGGTGATGGGGCGACACACACACACACACGCACACACACATCTACTATCCCTTTCTCTCTCTCTCCCTCTATCACACACACACACACTGATTGTGACCTAATCCAGGCCTCTCCAGGGACACACTCTTTCATCATCGCTGTTCCCGTCGATACTCGAGCTCTGCACAACATCTGCAGTTCAACACCTCAAAGATTCATTAAAGCGGAGGAAGGAGTGAGAAGCAGAAGGATACATCGATAAGCAGAGGGGCTGGTTGTGTGTGGTGTGGGTGGGTGTCACCAGGGGCCAGGGGCATCCATAAACACTGCTGACAGTCTGGACAGGAAATACACTTCAGTTTGTCGATAAGTTAGTCAGCAGGGGTGAGGAACGATCAATAGGAACACAGGCTGATGTCACTGGCTGCAGACTAGATGACCTGAGGCTACTACATATGAAGAGTTTTGCTATTCAATTCATTATATTATCTCAAATGAGTTGTATTGTTTATTTAGCGGAAAACCTTGGCAGAATTATAATTCATTCGTTTCTCTTAAATCCTAAACCAGACCTTTGAACAGTGGCGAACCGTCAGGGCCTTCAAGGTATTCAGAGAATACCCTGAAACACTCAGATAAAACAAACAAAAAATCTATGTAATTATATAAATAAAATGTAATAAAATGAATAAATGAGAATCGTATCTGTGTTGTTGATCTGTAATATTACAGTGTTACGTTGATTTGTTTGTCCTTCTCGGACCATGCACTAAGCATTTCAGTGGTTTTGTGTTAGAAAAGAAAGCAACCAATCAGATCTTGTTCTGGGTCTCTGGGTAGAATATCCTTCAACCAAGGTATTCTACATCCTTGATTGAATGCCCTGGCCGTTGCACTGAATGAGAGCGTACGTTTGGACTGACAGTTTGATCAACCAATCATATATTGATTTGTAGCCAATGGGCGTATTCTTTCAGAGTTTCCCTCGGTTCCAGGGTACTCTAGGCCCGCAAGTTAACTGTCTCGAGACAGAGGATCTAGATGAGTGCGACGAAGCAATTCATGCCGTGTTAGTGTTTTTAACGTTGAAATGGCAAGTGCAACAGGTGAAGATGAAGTTGTTGCGGGATTGTTGTGAGTACCCTTTTCAAGACGACAATTCAGTGAAAAGACGGACATTATAATGCCGCGGAGAGGGGCGGCGGCGGGGGGTGTGTGTGTCTACAGAAGGTCCAGTTGTGATAGACACGGTTCGCCACTGCCTTTGAAAGACCCTCCTCCTCAGTCTCCTCTGGTGCCGTGTCCAGTTGTTGTCCTGCCTTCACCACACTGGCATTACCAGTTGAATCACTATCGTGTTACATCATGTCATGTCAGAGAGCTGCAAAGCAGATGTTTATTCATGTGAAAATGCCACGGATTATAGCTTCAACATTATTGGGAACAAATACCTCCAGAGGCATATGATTCCCCCTAGAGATTTGGGAAAATGGAGATGAAGCCGATTACCCCCACAGGACGTGAATGCCCTATATCGCATTTGCCTACTCTTGTAGTGGTGTTGAGCGCTTGTGTGTGTGCATGCTTGTCCAACGTGTGTTTGAGTGTGTTCTCAGCTTTACTGACATTTCCTCAATCGTGGTTGACATTTCCAGGGGATTTGAAGATTTGATCCCTTCTATGTTTGAAGAGTTGTGTGCTGCCCTCCTCAAAACACCGGGGGAAACGCTGCAGCAGAGCCTTCGGGGGTCTTACTCTACAGCATTTGGAGCGGCCCGTTCTCACTCACCCGGAGTGTGATCAGGAGACGACCTGCACTATACATCGCCTGCCTCTTAGAGATGACATGGTTCACTGCTTGGTCTTTTACTTAGTCTTCCTGTTTTCCCCTGAGCTGTGGAGTGGTTCTGCTTCTCTCAACTGAGGCAGAAAAGCTATCACCGAAAGATATGAGAGAATAAAGTAGATAGAGATGGTGTGGGAGGGAGCGGGAGGGAGGGAGAGAAGGCAAGAAAGTGTGATAGAGAGGGAGGGAGAGAACTGTTTCTCCTGCTACAGGCTGGTTAGTGGAGCGAACTGACACAGACTGACATGCCTCTTCCACGGAGGCCGAGTTAAAAAGATCTCTCTCTCTCTCTCTCTCTCTACTCTGCAGCAGTCCTGTCCTAGCCGTGGGCTCAAATTACACCCCACCACCCTGTACGGGCCACACACACACACATACACACACAAGCCTATACAGTAGCCATGAGGAGGCCCAGGGCCCGAACACAGGTCAGGCTCGGGTCAGTCAAGGGCAGGA